TTATTTCGCAACAAACCTCAAATTAATTTAATGGACTTAAAGTATATTCAACAAGAAAGTGCTTCTAAAAGTGGGGTATCTCTAGTAAGTTAGAGGATAATAAAAAAAAAATCGAAAATAATTTTTTTTTTTTTTAGACATAACTTAGCTTAATTTAGCCGTTCAAAAGTCTTGTTTAGTTGGTTCTAATAATGATAAACTATACTTTTATTCGAATTACATGTTGTCTAGTTTACTGTGAAGCAATTTTTAATTATTTAAATTAAATATTTTTTTTACTTAACGCTTCTAAACAAAACTTCTGCAGAAAATATGATCGTTGTTTATGTAAACTTTTTTGTAATTCATAAGGTTTTATCATTACTCTTTGACACTAGCAGATCCAGGATTTATTTTTGGGGGGTGGGCTTCAGCCCGAAAGATTTTTTTTCATATATATAACGATAATTAATTTGACAAAAAAAAAAAAGAAATGAACTACCTATATGAAATGGTGTTTAAGTGATTCTTGAAGTTCTATTAAATGTAATTACATGAACAATAATACTTTAAGAGATAGTTTTTGATATTTTTTTCTATAAAACATGGTTATATTTTACCATTTTGAAGGGGGAGGGGGCTTCAGCCCGAAAGCCCCCTCCGTAAATCCGCCTGTGCTCTTTGATTCCCTCTACTTACCGGAAACTCAGTAAATTGAGGGTAGATAATTTTATAGTTTAGTTTTATAACATTTGACCTTATTTGTTTACTTTTTATTTTGTATTTGTTTAGGTGACAATGACACATTCTGGGTGAATTTAGCACATGTTGATTTTTATTGAATATTTAATAGTTGACCGTTGCTATAAGGAAGGAATTATAAAGGAAGAAGATGGTCCGGGGTGGCGTTCATAAATAGGCTAAATAGTGGTAAAACTATTTTGTTAAAAGCCTCTTTAATAACAATATTTTATTAAAAGGCTTTTAATAAAATAGTTTTGCCACTATTCAGCCTATTTATGACCGCCACCCCGGACCATCTCCTTCCTTTATGTTGATTTTTATATTTTTTAACGCGTCTGCAATAAACGGGTTGGCTGGTAACCTCAAGATTACGAGTTAGAGAGTTAGAATCCCGGTGTCGGGGACATTTAATTCTGGCATTAATCCATCGCCCTCTCCCCTGGCTCGGGAAAAGTTGTAATTTGACAGTATTATTGTTCAGTGACATAAATGGAATCGAAATTATGATATGATTTATTTAAAACTTTTGACCTTTTACACTGAACAGATTCAGTTGATATAGTTTAAAACAATTCCGAAGAGCAGAGAATGATCTTCGTCGGCCACGTCATGCCCGACGCTCTCCACCCAGCACGAGCTTATATCTCCGGGTCACGCTAATGGCGTCACGAACATCGCCGAGCGGACCACGCTAACCTCTTCCAGATCGCGGCGCGCTTTGAGCTGCTCGCACGATCAGCACCTTATCAGTTAATGTCCGCTGCGTGGTAGCTCTTTGCCATAGCCATGTAAATATCGATAAATCGTATCGATGTTTTTCCAATCTGCACTGTCTTTAATAAGGTGATACAGATCCCTTTGCCGGCTCACAAGAGAGATTGATTTAAATGAATGAGCTATCAAATGGAAGGTAATTTCATTGAGAAGTGACAAATCCCAATTTCAAAAAAAAAAACTTTACTACAACTACAATAAAATTCATTGAAAAAAAATGACAGATTTTTAAACTGATGGTTTCAAAAGCCGAATCTAGACGGGATGTGTTGTGTTTTATAGATTTTGAAACGGACATCAAGATCTGGTATGCATTTAAAGGGCATGTTTATTATTGTTAAATACATGTTTTATTACTGTCATACCGCTACTAGATAAAGAAATTATCGATTATAGATAATAGACTTAAATCATTAGACAAGGATAAGCCTGACATAGACTTAAATTTTGGTTGTCTCAATTAAGAGCAATAGCCGAGCTTAATGCCTTTGCAGAAGAGCTTTCTGTTCACCTCACAAACGGACTTCTTCGATACAAACAGGACATTCTGGAAAAAACACACAACTATTATTTTTCAGCCGACATACAAAGAACTTTAAACTCCACTAACTACCCTTTATACAGAATGCTATGCAGTTACAATGCTCCCGATCCCGAAACGTACCTTACATTCAAAGTCCATATAAAGAAATTGAGATGTGTCAGTCAATTAAGAGTTGCAAACCCAGAACTTGTTACAAACGTTGGCTTTTAATAAAATAGTTTTGCCACTATTTAGCCTATTTATGACCCCCCACCCCTCTCCGGACCATCTACTTTTATAATGCAACGGTCAACTATTAAATATTCAAAAAATTAATTTATCTTTGAAGTGTTAATTTATCTTCACAAGTACCTTCATGTTATATATTTCTATAGCAGATTTACTGGTTGTATATATGTTTACAGTTGTAAATTTCAACAAAATAATAATAAAAAAAATCATAAAAATCCATCGTCGCTATCAGCCAGAAAAATACGATATTTAATATAGATGTTCTCATAACTCATTCCATTATTACTGTACTCGGCGTTTTGTTAGATGCAGAGTAGGGTCTACGGTTCAATATAAGATTTACTAAGCAGACTCTCAAGAGACCCCTCGGAGTTGTACCACGACGTGAGAACTCTCCCAGCCCTTCATTCACAGTGCTCCTAACACACAGGTGTATTGTGATCTTATCAACTACCTGTCCGCTAATTAATATGGCTTATCCCAATCCTATTCTAGCGGCTTCGGGATTCAATGTTTTTAAATTACATTTATTTAATTTTGTTCACAAAAGTAAAATTCCTGCGAAGTGTATTAAATATCTTTTGAATGATTACACAAAAAAAAATGTAATGTATTGCTGCTTTGGTTTACCCATGTATTATGTCGAGAGCCACACTGCAAAAGCATGTAAGAACAAAAAGTAAATCTTTCAGAAGACAAAAACATTAAAATGCCTAACTTTTGTTCTATGAGCATTATATTTTCGGTTCATTTTTTTTAAATTTATTTATTTTATTTTTTATTTAATTTTTTTGTGCAGGCCTAAAACGAAGATGTAATATTCTACGTAAATTCTTTGATCTGATTTCTTCCAAATAATCTTTTAGAGACATTACTTCTAACTTATAGCTTATTATGTACTTATACCTGGAAAACAGGTATTAATTAGGTAAAAGCAAACAATTTTTTTCTTTTTTGGTTCTCGCCGCCTTTAAGGCTATACGGGGTTTTGTCTCATATATCAGGATGTCGGACGACGGTGCTGTGCACACACGTTAGCCCGTTCGGCCAACCCGCCCACCAAGCAAATTTATTGTAGTAATAGCCCTGGAGCCAGGGCCCAAAAATCGACCTGATCGCAAGCGAAGGTTTGAATGTAAATTACGAAAGTGTATGTTATTCTGAGTAAATAGAACTTTGTCTGCCGTTCCAGAGTCGCTGCTTTAAAAAATGGCGGCTGATTTAAAGAATATTAGGCCAGTAATTTGATGATCGAAACGAGAAATCCATTGAGAAAAATGTGAGAAAAGTTTTTATTTTTTTAACTTGTATATATACATTAAATTATTTGGTACTCACTGGATGCGAAATGTGATGCTCTACAACTTAGATTCTATGGGTTTTCCCTCTAAGATAACTCGTTTCCAAGGTGCAGGACCATTTATAGTAATTTGTCTCAATTTTTGACAAATTTGGTAAAAATCAGTAATGGTTGATCGCGGTTTCATACCTTACCATGTAGCCAAATTATAAAGTATATGTACTCATTCGACGCACAATTTAATGTTCTTTAATATATTAAAGAGTACATATTTCGCTTTGTTACATAGTTTAAGAGTTATAGGCGAATAATCTGACCTTTTTGGCTGTAAAAAGTTTTCTCTTGGTCGTCCGCGTTAGTAATTTCGTTTTTTACATGTCTAAATCCATATATACAAGTTAAAAAAATAAAAACATTTCTCACATTTTTCGCAATGGATTTCCCGTTTCGATCCTCAAATTATTGGCCTATTATTCTTTAAATCAGCCGCCATGTTTTAAAGCAGCGGCTCCGGAACGGCAGACAAGGTTCTTTTTACTCAGAATAACATGCGCTTTCGTAATTTACAATCAAACTTTCGCCTGCGATCAGGTCGATTTTTGAGCCCTGGCTCCAGGGCTATAACATCCGTAACTTTGTTAATGATAACCAAATCATGACAGACATGCGCCCCATTTCGGATTAGTCTCTGAAAGATCCGTTTTTAACGTACTCAACTTCATATGAACATAGTTTGATTCACGAATGCTTGGTAAGTTCTTAGTAACTTGCTGATGTTTAGATCACTTTGTTTCTGAACATCTTGCTATGAAACTTGAGTTCTTCTTCCGTTTCTTGTTAAATTTTCCAATTAATAAAATCAATTATCTGTCTCTCACTATCTGGAATTCATAGGCAGATTTTTTCCAGTCAAGCTCATTTTGTAGTTGCCAAAAGGTTTCGATTGTTTTTAAGCCGTTCAATATTATATTCCCACTTATTACTCCCTTCTTTGCTTCATCTAGTTCCATGGTAAGCAGTGCAGGCCTCAGGGTAGGGTGGCCCTCAAAACGGGAAAAAATTAAGGAAGTTACTAGGAGCCTACAAGGGGAAATACGTGACGGGAGTAATTTAGACGTTTTAAGGTGGAAATGGTACGGCGGGAGATGTTGGATATATGATTTTTCCAGGAAAGCGTTTGATCAAAGATCATTCCAAGGTTTTTGATGGAAGGGTAGAATTTGATGGGATTATCATGTAGGAATAGAGTTGGTATATTATAGTGTGGAGTATTATATTATTATGAGTCAATTCGTATTAATTGTCTGTTACTTAAAATACTGTCTACTTAAAATATCCTGACTCGCGATATTGTGTAGAGACCATTTATTTTCTTCCGTATAAGTTCTCTACATGCCCGTCGAACGTGAAAGAACTTTAATCAGTGAATTAAATAAATTCCGTGGAACGACATTTCATTGGAACAAGAGAGTCGCGGTTCTTTCTCCTCGCGTGACCTTTAAGGTGGTACTGGTACAAAGAGGCTAAGTGAATGTCGCCCCTGAGACCGGAATAATCAGACCAGGCTGCTTCTTCCATTTGCAGAGGTGCCGAAGAAGGACCGGCAATCCCATCGGGAAAGGTCACCCGCATACCACCGCTGCAAGAAGTGGAAGGCCTGTTGCTGTGGGAACGGAGCGGGGCAGTGGAGCACCCTCTAACGGGCTGTAGTAGACAAACCTCTTCCTTGCATCCCAATCGGCGTCCCAGCCTCCTCTCTTCCTTCCTCCTCTGTACCGTTCTCTTCTCTCCCAGAGGAACTTAAAGCTGATCCTACCAGTCATGAATGACAGTTGCAAGATTGACAAAATTTACTTCATTCACGAAGGAATGAATACCTATACATATCAGTCAGAATGACATATTTTCAGCTCGGTTGACGTTGAAATAACAGGTAGCGTGGATCCGGTGAATTGCCTATTAATAATGTATTTTATTAAAAAAACTTATTTGGCCATTATCCTTTATAACATTGGACATCAAAAGTGAAGACATAATAATTACTCCTTAGTGCCTGAAAATCGCAGTGGCTTTTTGGTTCAATAAAATATAAGCTCAACTACTTGCAAAGATTAAGTGAAAATATTGCGAAAATAATAAATATATTGGGGAAAAAAGGGAAAAGAACTGACAAACATATACAATAATTTTATTTATTTATTAGTTATACATATTCCTCGCTCACAATAAATTTGTCATCTACTTCGGTATTCAGCAAATCAAGGACAAGAAATGATAGCATAAGAAAAAAATAATAGTAATAACAAAACAGAAAGACAAAAAAAAAAAAAAAAAAAAAAAAGAACAGTAGTAAAATAACACATACATATTAACAGAATAACACACAAAAAAAGAAAAGATAATGCAGCAAGTAGCTCAATGCAATAAGTCTCTTGGCCATCGCCTCAGCAGTCTTCTGGGCGGATTATATGGATTTGTGGCAGTAGATAGAGCTTGAGTAAGTGGATTGGAATTTAGAGTCAGTCTCTCATGAAAATTATTAAAGCGATCAGTGGCAGTTGCCGTGATGAAAGGAGTGTTAAGGTCAGTGTGTAACGTGAGGTTTGAAACATAAAAGGGTGCGTCTACAATTCTCCGAAGGACTTTAGACTGGAATGACTGGATGATTTTTATATTTGATTTCTTTGCTGTTCCCCAATAATTAAATAATACAATAATTAAAGATTATTTTTTTATATAAGTAAATAGTGTATTTTGACATCTTAAAAAAAAATATATTGTCCAATTTATTCATTTATGTTTATATTTTAAATGAAATCATATTTAACTAAATAAGGCTGTAATTGCTCACCATTTTTATTTTCTTTTTCCTTGTATATCGGCTACGTTTCGTCTATGATGCCATTTTCAAATCATTTAGTTTAATAATGCTTCTTGTGTTCAGTCCATAATTGTATTATAGTCCATACTTGGATATAAAGATAATATACACTCTTACTTTATATTGTTCACTTTATTGTTAAAAAGAAAAATTATTTGAAAATCGTGTACAAAAATATATTAAGGATATGAAAATCTTTTTATTTAACGACTTTTATTCTAGTCATATGTAATCACCAAAAATTAGTCTTTGACATCTTCTAGCCTGACAATATTCTTCACGCATAATGTACAGAGATCATACCTTCCTTGACTCTCTCATACCACGTCCTTCTCGTATGAAAAACTATTTATTTTAAAAGAAAATTAGGAATGTACATTGGTCATGAGGCTAATGAACTACGCAGCAGTCAGCTTAATCTCCCCACCACTTTTACCTCAGTCCCTTCCATCAGTACATCCATCTTAAACTTAAACGATCAATCATCCCTTGGAATGGCATTCCGATTGACCGTGTAGGATCTGCTTAGCTCCCAAAGATTTTATTACTTTCACTTTAATTATGTAAAACTTTTTTTATTATTATTATTTATTTATTTATATGATATTTACAACTGTATACAAAAAATACATCTGGTAAATTCGCACATGGATATAATGACATGGAACACATGTTGAGAAACTACCCATTGGTAGCACTCTAATAATATGTCTATATTAGGAGATCACGTGGCCATCTTCTTTTCAGACGCCTCGGAGGGTTATCAAGAATTGAATAGGAAGCAAGGTTAGAGACAAGAGGGTTGGGGTGGTTATGAAGTTTATTATGGAAGGACAGATATCTGGATTGGGCCAAATCTGATACATAAGGTACATTAAGGTCATTATGGTTAATTTTATTTGTAACAAAGTAAGGAGCATTGAGGATTTTACGAAGGATTTTGGATTGTAAGGATTGGATGCGAAAGGAATTTGAAGGTTTGGTGGAGCCCCATAGCTCAACTCCGTAAGTCCAAATAGGCTTGATTATAGTCATGTAAATGGAGTCTTTTATAATTGATTGGAAGGTTAGAGCGTTTGTCTAGTAAGTGCTGCAGTAGTCAAAAACGGCAAGCGGTTTCTAGTCGTTTCTGTCTGGTATGGGGGATCCAAGTGAGTCGTTTGTCCAGATGGAGTCCTAGGTAACGGATTTGTTCAACAGGAATAAGTGAGTTGTTGTTAAAGGTACTGAAGGACAGGAAGTCATTGGTTTACGACGAATGTAAAACTACGAACAACTTTTTGGTGTAATTACAATAATATTTGGTGTCCCTTTTGATCTTAATTCGAAATAATTATCGAATATGATTGACCTTCGCCTTATTATTTAAAAAGAAGTCATCTAAATGTAGAACTTGTTTGGTTTCACCGCGCTTTAATGAAAGAGACCTACCAGTGCCGTTCAGGTCAGACATGGCTGGTCAAGATTGTCCTCATTGCGAATCCACAAAACTGTAATCACCTAACCTAATTTTAGCATGGATCAGATTAGAGTTGGCCTAGAATTCGGCTGAATACACAATAGAGGACGGTATAGGTAATCCGTACACGTAGATATTGTATAGGTAGTACGGATTATCAAAGGTTAAGAAGTAGGTACACAAGTATTAACTCTGATATAAAACATAGCTAAATATAAAATATTAAAAAAACTTGATTATTAACTAAAGAAGAAATAAAAAAATTGTAAGAAGAATAGCTATAATAGAGGGACCAAAGGAATAGGAGTGCTCCCGAACTCGCCCGAAAGATTACAACAGGCTTCGCTACGTAACATGAGCTTAATATAATAAAGACTCCGAAAATATTATCTACTTAAACATATGTTTTTTTCATAAATTCTATCGTTTGTATTACTTAATGTATAGATTACAGCGATACCAAAATTAAAATTGGTACTTCTATCAGTTTGTAACGATCCATCAATTGCATCCCAAACTCTTCAATCACACTTTCAGATCACCTTGAAGGATGGTATCAAAAATACAGGATTAAAATAAATCCCATCGGATCACCTCTACCCTTCTTCCTAACTAAGTCTTCCTGTTAGACTGTATTCTTTAAAAATACCCCAACTATCCCAGTTGAACAAATCCGATACCTAGGACTCCACCTGGACAAACGTCTAACTTGGAATCCTCATACCAGATTGAAACGACAAGAAATAAAGCCTATTTGGACTTACGGAGTTGAGCTATGGGCTCCACTAAACCATCGAATTCCTCTCGTATTCAATCCTTACAATCCAAAATCCTTTTGAATATCCTCAATGCTCCTTACTTTGTCAACAATAAAATAACCCATAACGACCTTAATGTTCCTTATGTTTCCGATTTGGTCCAATCCAGATACCTATCCTTCCATAATAAACTTCAGAACCATCCGAACCCTCTCGTCTCTAACCTTGCTTCCTCTTCTATCCTGATAACCCTCCGAGGCGTCTGAAAAGAAGATGGCCTCGAGATATCCTATTGTAAATACATTTTTTTTTTTAGAGTGCTACCAGTGGGCAGTTTCTCAACAAGTGATTTCATGTTATTATTTTCTGTTATCAAATTTACTAAATGTATTTTATTTATTAATACAATTGTAAATATCATGAATAAAAAAAAAAATGGTTCATTCACATTTCATGATTTTATCACATTTCTCGCGTCAAATTTGAAGCATTGGAGAATAGAAAGTTAATCTCACTTCTTTAAACCTTTCGTCAAAAATATGGAATATATTTAATTGCTTTGTTAACATATTTTCAGATACAAACACAAAAAATCTAATATATATATATATATAAGTATATATAGTGTATATACTGTTTTACAAAAATTATATTATTATCACTCATAATTTTTATAATTATTATAAACTCCTGAGACTTTTTTTAGGCCCCTCCAACCAAAATGGAAAGTCTGCGCTTATGCTTATTAGTAAATTTTATAAAAATATTGAAAAGTTTTGCGTATTTTGTTATTTCTTTTTTTCATGTGATACTGATACCCTTTCAAATTCTCCTTATCTATTTTCTTTATTTTCCCGGTTTCCCAAAATACCATCTAACCCTTTCACATACCCTCGACTGGATGACCTTTGGATGTAGTTCCGATTGGCCTTCCAGCTGGTCGCCGACCCCGAAGAGTTTTCCTTCATGACTCCATGACTGGTCGTCCCTCATTGTCCAGTCGTGACCAAACTATTTTACTTTGGTACCCTCTGGAGTTGAGTTTCGTCGGATGCACGCCCCTTTGGTTTCTGATTCGGTTTCTCACGAAGAATTCTATACTTTCCTACTTACTCATAACTCCATGTCATATTATAAAAGAAAAATGTTACAACTCACAATATTTTTAATGACTATATTTGCTAATAAAAAATATCTGGTGTGTCCACTAACACGACTTTCCTACCTATCTCAGAAAAGTTTTTATATCTTTATGTATGTTCATGAAGAAACAAAAAAGAATTGAACTAGATACATTTTCCTGAAAATTGATCAAACATAAAGATTTGAGTACGGGTTATTTGATAAACTAAAGCAATGTAAACAGCCTTAAGGTAGATCATTGTAAAAATTTCAATACTTCCTAATATTGCTGATCAAAAACTTTTTGCCATAGCTTAATAGTGTCAAACAATAATTTCTGTTAAAAGTAAAGCGAATAGTGAAGATTGTGTGATGCGGGCAACAGATTTTCTTACTTTCACTTAGTCATCTTTATTCTCTCATTCACCCCTTTCTTATACCAGGATATGAAACCGTAATCTTACATTGGAAATTGAATAGCTGTAACTTCGTTAATAGTTGTCCAAAATGAACGATTTTTATATGGCTTTGTAGGGAATTTCTTTACCTTTCAAACGACAGGCGTATTCAGTGATTACTCAGAGTCAGTGATTAGAACATTATAGGAAAGTTTCATCAAAATCGTTAGAGCCGTTTTGCGCTACAGTCTATAGAAAAACATGTTTTTTCATTTATTGCGCGCAAGCTATTTCGAATGGAGAACCGAATTTCTGTCACAGGCATCAGTAGTCAAAACCCTACAAAATAAAAAAAGAAGCAACAAAATCAGTTTAGTAGTTCCCGAGAAAATCTTGGCACAGACAGACAGACAGACCAATGGCTAAAACTGTGTTTTTCGGACTCAGGGGACTCTGAAATTTATAGATCCGTCGAAAACCGCATGTCGGAAATTTGATCCGATTGCAATAATTTCCTTACTTAGTATAGGTAGGAAAATAATATATGATAATGAGCCGGATATTCCAACCCAATAACAGCATCTGCGTAGAAGAAAAATCTTTCCCAGGAATAGAAAAATTCAAATACCTGGCCTCTACGATATCCTCAATGAATGACCAACGGCCTGAAATAGACTAGCATATACCTAGCGCAAACAGAGCTTTCTTCTCCCTCTCAAAGGTATTGAAATCCCGAAAAATCTGAAATTAAGGATGTACAACGCTATGATAAAACCATCCATAATGACCTTAATGTTTCTTATGTTTCAGATCTGGCCCAATCCAGATACCTATCCTTCCATAATAAACTTCAGAATCATCCCAACCCTCTCGTTTCTAATCTTGCTTCCTCTTCAATTCCTGATAACCCTCCGAGGAATCTGAAAATAAGATGGCCCAGTGATCTCCTAATGTAGACATATCATTAGAGTGCTACCATCGGGTAGTTACTCAGCAAGTTTTTTCGTGTCATTTGTTGTTTAAATTTACTAGATATATTTATTTAATACAGTTGTAAATATCATTATGAAATAATAAAAATAAAAAAAATCCTGAAAAAAACATCAATGCCGAATCCTAGTCTAACCAATGTAATTCATCAAAAATTGGCAATCTATGGTCAATCGGAAGCGGCCATTTTGTTGCATGACAACGCCCGGCCTCATTTCTCACGTGTGACTCTGCCACATTGGCCCTTCTCTCCAGACCTCTCGCCCACGGATTATCATTTTTTTAGACCACTGTATCACTATTTACTTGACGAAAGATTTAATGAACAAAAGATAAAAGAAATATGGAAAATTTTATTCCGAGGAAAAGTTGCCAACACGTGTTGCAGAAATGTATTGATAGTAGTGGAGACTATTTTGATTAAATAAAGCGATTGTAAATCTTTTTTTTTTCTTTTCAAACCACAATTCTGTATTATTTTATGATGGTAAAATTTAATTTCAGAACCGCTTCTAATGAAGGCCATAAATGGCCTTATATTACTTACAGCCCCATTGGAAGACATGTTTTCCGATTGGACGATAGATAAGATAGAAAACGTGCAATGATACGGCGGTACGATATGTTCAAGATTAGCATAATATGGAAATGATGAAGGGAGTGACCTTTGGGACCAGCTGGCGTGCGCCGATCCAGTTATCAGATCTGCGTGCTCAGGTTATTTTTACCTGTCCCTAATTAGATTGTCGTCAAGGTCGTTTTGATAACAATGCCGAGCTTAAAATAGAACAGAGTCCTTTTAGGAAAACACTGATTGTATTAGTTTTTATCCTTTCAGGCCGTTTTAAAAAAAATCTGTTTGTCACCAAAGAGAATGTCCTCCTATTACGAGCTCTCAGTAGCAGAAATATATGTACACTTTTCTAGCTCTCATCTTTGATATACCTAGTTCTGCCATAAATATTGTCGCAGAAGTTTATTTATATCCTTGTGTATTATTCAGATATTCCTTACCTCTATGAGGTTATTTTCTTTACATATTATGATAATAATCCCAATTAGTTTGTATTTTTCTTTCGCCCAGTTAACATGGAGTGGGGATGATCGCTGTGATCGCCTTACACAAAGTTGGAAAATGTAGGTCAGAGATTTTCAATACATTGACACCCTATCTGTATGTGACAGACCTCGACCGGGCCGTCCCCGCACTGTGAGAACGGCAAATGCAGTGAAAGCAGTGGCTGCTCGAACCAGAAGAAATCCCATTCGAAAACAACAAATCATGTCTCGGGAATCTCTGTCAGTGTCTAATAAAAAGTACATAATAAAAAGAGACCTTAGGATGGGTGCATTTCGAAGAATGGCAGGACAATGGCTAACCACTTCCCTAAACAAAATTATAGTGGATAAATGCAAAGTGCTCCTTGGCCGTTCTAACAATGGTCCTCATCGAAAGATTTTGTTTAGCGATGAGTACGCACACAGCTCTAAAGAAGTCCAGGAAGTCATTAGAAGAGTGAAAAGAGGTCATCACCCTTCCTCAGTGATGGTTTGGTGGGGAGTTTGCTTTGATGGCACCACAAACTAACTCAGTTTTTGCGAAAAAGGAGCCGCTAAAAACTATCAGGACGATATTTTGGAACCTGTTGTCAAGCCTCTAAATGATACTCTGTTTGCTGGGAGACATTGAGTTTTCCAGCAGATTCTGCTCCAGCTCACAAGGCCAGGTCAACTCAGCAGTGGCTGCAAAAGAACATTCCAGAGTTCATCTCTGCCTCGGATGCCTGCTAACTTGGGAAGCCTCAAACAATCTCTGGTCCGAGCAGTTGAGCGCTTTCCTCAAGAAGTGCTGCGTGCTGCTATTGAAAACTGAACGGAGATTAAATGCCTGTGTCAAGACAATAGGGAGACATTTTAAGCAACTTCTTTTTTGTTTTACTCTCTATAGATATATATTTTATTTTCTGATAAAGTTTTTGAAAAAAATAATTTTTCTGTTGTAATGTGTATATATTTCCTTCTAACAATATTTATAACAAGACTAGGCATTTTGATGAATGAGAGATCAATATAAAGAAAATTTCTAGGAGAAGTGAAGAATCCAATTTTCAAAATTTCTTCCCAATCTAGATCTATACTGCCCAATTATATAAAGCGTAAATTTCATGATGTCTAGCAAACATCTTATTAGTAGACGAAATGTTATTTATATTTAAAAAATATATACAGCTGCTTTTTCCAATGCACGATCTTCCAAAACATAAGTTCTAAATTTTCGTCGTAGCAGTAATACTTGCCATATATTTACTAACAATAGCCAAGATGTCGCTAATATCCAGATTACAGAAAAGTGCCACATGTATTCTTCATAATTAACAATCTAAAGCGGTAACTTGTTTACAGCGGACTAAATTCCCATTCGCTATTGTCCTGTTATTTGAAATTTCACCATCTTTTTTGGATGGTTAGTCAAAAATAAAATTAGGATCTGAGCTTTCGACCACACGATAGAACTGAAAACATCAACAAGGCCAGATTAATAATATGAATTATAAATAATAAATAATAGCTCATTATAAAGAGGATGAAATGCTGAACATTTCCCTCGTATCCAGTATCCAAGTCCGATTTTTAGTTTCTGATATATTTTAATCCATATCTTCCATAAAACTTTTTGAAACAATTTTTTACTCTCTAACACGGCGTTCCGTTAAGATATAATTTTGAATAATAGAGCTTATAATAATAGCTCATTACAAAGAAGATGAAATGATGGACGTTTCCCTCGCTTACAATATGTAGGTCCGATTTTTAGCTTCAGAGATATTTTAATCCATATAAAAAAATACTTCAATTAGTCGACCCAGCCTTCTTTACCCGAGCGTTGTACATCGGAGTCTGAGAGTTTAATCTAATAAACTCTCCACAGAATAAGTGTAAACAAGTTTTCACTTCAAAACTACAATTTGTATTATTACATAATGTCCTTATTATTATTATTTTTTTTTTTAAACTAAGACATATCTCGACAAGATTTAGAAATTGTTTAATTCAACGATTGAGAGCTAAGCCGCCGACCTCCAGACATGATCTCCTTGTGCGGAATGGATTTATCTTAATTAGGTCAGAGCAGTTCCAATATATTGCTCCTCAGACCTGCCTTTCTTTATGGCTGTCAGTGTTAAGTTCGCAACTTTATTATTAATTAAAATTAGTAATTGATAGAATAAGGTATTTTTTCAATTTATTGATTTTTTAAAAAATAAATGTAATATTTACCAATAAAAAGATCTTAAAAGGAAAAAAAATCCATGAAATTTCAATAAATTTGACATCAACAATTTTTTTTTTATTTATTTGTGACTAGCTGATGTAACCGTCGTTGACGGGTGTATAGTTGAAATTTGAGAATATTTTTTTTGAGATGGATTTTGTTTGGGGGCATCAAGCCTTCCCTAATCCCGAAGTATGGGGAATCAAACC